TAGCAAGCGGCTTGCTAGTTGGGGCACTGGTCAAGGGGGAGGAACCAGGAACGCAGACAAGAGACCCGAGAAAGGGAGGATCAGGGCTTCTCTGTGCAAAATCATTACTCAGAGCAGATAAGTATGACATGTTTGTTAATTTAAAAAAAAAAAACCAAAACAACAAGCCTTTAATATCACTTTACGTGTGTTCAGATGCGTTTACAGAGCATTTACATGCTTATAGATACAGAGATGAACAAGTTTTGTAAGTGCTTTTACAGACTGTTTAGAATGTTAAATTCACCCTGCATGATCTGGGCACAGATTGACTTTATGGTCACTATCATAAACGTAACAACCCCTACTTGAACCATGGATTTGGATCTCTGCTGTTTTGAGAGTCCGTGAGCTACAGTAGCACAGATAGCAAGGTAAGATAACTGGAAGCTTGGAAGCTGCACATGGGCATGTCTGGACTTTCAAACAGGATAGTGATCTGAAACATACGGCCCAGAGAACCCTTGATGGCTACAGCAGAGAAAACTGAAAGTCTTGGAGTGGCCATCAAAATCTCCTGACAGAAACATCATTTAGGCCAGCCATAGATGGTTTGAATCCCGGACAGTTCAGCAGGGACCGGCTGAGATTCGAACCATATATGGGAAGGCTGACTGTGTCGATTGTTGTACAACTTGGGTACAACCAGCCTGTCAGATTTTACATGCGATTACTGCCAGCGGCTAATATAGCTGCTAACAGTAATCACTGTGTTCTCCCGGCAGGGATAACTCTCGGGTGAACACAATAGATCCACAGGAGGGATTCCCCCATCTGACCACTGACTGTGCTGATGGGGGAACCAATTGAATTTCTTTCCTGCAACCCGTGGTTGCAAGAAAGAAAACTGCATCATGTATGGGAGGCTTTAGTCACTGGTGAGATTTCAAACATGCAGTTCTTGCTGGATCACTCGATAACTTACAGCGTTTAATGTGAACTGTAAATAAAAGAAATATGGTTGGTCTAATCACTCATCTTTTCTTAAGAGAAGGTATCCTACAAATTCTGCTGTACCGGTACGGAAATGAAAATTCTGGACTGAAACGGAAAATTCAGGATGCACTTGGCCGAAAACCAAAATGGACGTTTTTTTTTTTTAACAAAAATATAATTTTCATATATATTCAGTGGTGTAAAATAATTTTTATTGCAAACCATGTCTGAAAGTATAAATATATATCACAGACACACATACATCCCACAGACCCGTCAGTATATCTGCTTGCCCGTACATCCTGTACGAGCAAGACGATACACTCTGACAAGAAAATTCAAAGAACTACCACAGCGCTCACAGCGTCGTGGTAGTTCATTCAGAACTACAAGCTGATAGCCGCTAAGGCTGTTGGGACTTGTAGTTTTCTCATTTACAAAATACTGTGTATGAGTGATGCAGCCGGGCAGGCAGAGCCCCACATGGCCATGGGTTTGTTTTTTTTTTTATTTTGACAGCTAGCGGAAGGAGAAGATCCCCCACTAGCTGTCAAACCAGGGAAGCGGGGCCAATCGTTTCATAAGATATTACACCCTGAATATGGGTGCAACAAGTAATATGTTGTGATGTTGTGAAAGGTGAAAATCATTACAGCCACATTTTTTTTTGTCTATCAGCAAAACAACCACTATTTTCAGCTGATATATTTGTGCACTGCTAGTTACCGCCATTGTAGCCAGCCAAGAAAATGACCAAGATAACCAAACTAGCCACTGGGGAACTCTTTCCATGTTCCCATCTCTTTATAGCCAAAAAGGTATAAACATGCACAATAATCCCAATGTGCATACTTGGAACGCAAACCTTCATAAGAGCTTGTCGCAGGCAGACTGTAACTGCGCATCAAATCTTTGTCTTACGTTTATGTGTACTGTTCAGGACAATCACATGAAAGTTATCTGCTTGGCATTCTGTGTCTATTGAGCCAGAAATTCTATTCCATTATGCTAGGTTCAAAAGAAACGCATCAACTATAAATAAACCTCTTTTATGACAATTCTACCTTGAATGGCATGTCATTTTTCATTAATGATCTCTCATTCTCAAATGCATTTCATTTCTGCTGCCGCTCTGTAAATTTGTTTCTCATGCTTTTTCAAGTCTAAAAGGCAAGCTAAAGAGCCCTAGACATTCTGTCTATTCCTATTGAAACATTGCTCACCTTCACCTACACAGCAAGGAAAAAGAAAAAAAAAAAAAGAAAAAAAAAGGAAAGGAAAAAAGGAAAGGAAAGCAACCTACTCTATTACAGAAAGCACGTGTCATCTTAAGATAGGCAGCCACAACTTGATCCCTGCAGGGATATGCACATATTCTACAGAAAGCTTGATATTTCTTCTTATTCAGTTTGGCTCACTTACATGTACGTAAACCCTAAGGCTCTATTCACACATTGTGTGGTGACAGACATTCTGCTGCATTGAAAAGCACCCGTCACCGCAAGGACACATAGCAAACAATTGTCTTCTGTGTGTCCCATTCACACTGCAACACAGCCTGAAGCCGTGTTGTGGCGTAAAGGAAAAAAAAAAAGGTAACAGATTCCTCAATCCACACAAAAAAAACATGGATGCAGGAAATCCCCACTTGCTGGGATATTGTTTTCTGACAGTGGTACCTGCCGCTGTCAGAAGTCACTGACCAGTGGCCGCAGCTCCTTGGCTGCAGCCGCTGAGTGATGGAAAATTTTCCAACATGTCCCCTGCTGGACTAGACAAATTTGAATCGGTGTATGGCAAGCTTAACAGCGAACCTCTCTTATTTGCTCTTTTTTGTCTGTTAAGTACCCGCTCCCCCCTGCCCCCCAAAAAATGGCAAATGTGGCAGTGGAGGGGAGAGGAGGCAAACGAGTGGAACTTCCCCTTTTGGGCGAAGTTCCGCTTTAAGATGAACAATGACAGAATGTGGGTATTGGTAACACAATGTAAGTTTGATGTATTTTTTCACCACAGAAAATCAATTAAATTAACTAATCCTCTAATCCAGGGGTGTTCAACCCACAACCCCAGAGTTTAGCATGCAGCCCAGGCTCATCTGGAGAGAAGCCAACACAAACAAGCCAAGCCCATGAACGGCTGTAGGGACGCCGAGGATGCCATGCAAACAAAGCAGTCGAGGCAGCCTACATTGACAAGCCAGGAAAAATACACGTCTGGAGGCATACAGGGCTGCCATGTTTGCAATAGCACTGGCAGCAGGGAATGCAGGGGCTCCATGTAAATGCTGTCCCCTCCAGATCTCAATTGCCAGAATCATTGGGTGAAACCTGCTGACAATCTGGTGATGTGTCTAATCACAGCACAGGTCAGGAAGTACATCATGATGCCTGGCTGTGTCGACCGATAGCAGTAAATGTACTGTTAGCGGGCAGCAAGTGGTTAAAGCAAATTTGTAATTTTCCCATTTAGACAGAGTAACTGGTTTACTGAATATTAGACACACTGTGGTGCCCATGAATGCCTTCCTGACACTTCAAGCGCTCTCTACACTGTAAAAACCTAGCAATTCCTGGTATGGGGAAAAGTCCAGATTCTCTTTTCTGTCTCTCCCTGTGCAGGCTTGATGCCCAAAGGGCTAAATGTGTATTGGATGGGATAGATTGCTAGACCTGTGTAAGCTCCAACTAAGACCCAGCTTAGAGCTTATGCAACAATTTTGGGGGCTCTGGTATGCGAACAGAGTTGCAGTGGAGCAGAATGAGCTCCCTGAAATCCTGGCATGGTGCAACAGGATTCTCAAAGCTGTGTAGCTCAGGAAGCACAGATTGCATGTGCCCAGGTCCAGCTAAAAATGGCAGCCACACATGCACATCATCATGCTTGCCCACCACGCCGGACGTCTGGCTCCATCACTGCAATTTGTCACCCCATAGGGAAACACTGCTTGGAAGACTGCCACACTGTTTCACCTATCAAGGGGGGCGTACCCTGCAGGACTTTTAGGGACTTGACTCCCTACCAGGGGGTACCAACCGGCAGACATTACAGGCCGTTCCCACTCCTGTATGCTGGCCATAGCAAAAAAAAAAAAAAAAAAACAGATAAAGACCACCTATGCCCCAGAAGGGGTGTAAAGAACAAGAAAAAAAGTCATGGGAACAAAGCCCACAACAGAGATGTTCAAAGAGATCGAGACACATCCATCACCTAAAGACACTAGCTAAAAAGTGATGCTTAGCTGAGCAGTTATGAGTTGAACCTGGGCGAGGATTCTTGCCTTTTTTTTGGCCAGTGCACCTGAATGTGGCAGCATAACCCAAGTATTTATGAATATGAACTCCTTTTGTTCTGTGATGTATGATTAAAAAACGACAGTCTCTTTAAGAGACCCTGTAACCAACTTAAAAAAAATGCATGTAAAAGTATAGAAAATAATTTAATGCTTTCTTCCAGTATTTTCTTTTTCAATAATTATGATTTTTTTTTCACAAGCAATGTGCCTCTGAGCTTGTTATCAATTCTACTTTAGGAAATTCAATTCCCTACCAAAGTCCCCCTCGCCCCTTGCATGTCAAAGCCCTTTTCTCTTCTAGAAGTGTCTAACTATAGTCTGTGCTGGCACAGCTCCTCCACCTCTTACATGACTCTTTTTGAAAGCTGGGCAATGCAATAGAGTATCACTTGAGTGAAAGCATTAGGTCTGCTGGGGCTGATGACATCTCATTCAGGATGGCAGCACTCAGCAGCATTCTCAGTGCTTTTGGATGTGTACAAAAGGCCGGCTTTTACAGAAAAATAACATATATAAAATGCTAAGTGCACATACAACCTTATAGGCAAACTGTTGTTGAAATAAATTGTCTGGCAAAAGGGTCTCTTCAAGAGAGGTCAAACTTATGGCTGGCCCCCTGACCATAGTGATGGTCAAGAGCAATTCATTCTCTTCTGCCCTGGAGAAGAGCTCCGTAAATGTAATCCGATAAAAACAGCTAGGAAACCTGACTTTTTACATATTCCTTGCTTACCTTCAGTGCTTTTAACTGGGCATGTGCCTTGTCTCTCTCTCGCTTCAATTTGTTAATGTCATCCTTTTCTGAGAGATCACATGACTGCATCTGCACAAATAAAACACGTTGCATTACAGAACTCATACTACATACTGTACTGTAGCCAAATTGTTGATTAGGAAATGATATGCATTCCAGTATTACAGACCCTTCACATCAACTTAAAGCTTTACTAAACCCACAACAGTAAAATCAGTCTGTATATGCAGTAAAGCATGCTTGTTATACTCACTGTGGAACCTAAGGGGTTAATCCTCTGCACTGTGTAAAAAGGATGTTTGATCCTGTCTTCTCTGATCCTTCCCTTCTTCTACTGTCCCCAATCCATATGCTGATAGAACAGGACCTTGGGGACAAGCTGCACATGCTCAGTTTGGTGTGCATTGCTAGAGAGTTATTTGTTTTCTTGACAGAGTTCATGTGATCAGCACAGGGCCCATCAGAACTGCCCAAACAGAGGGTCAGTGAGTCAGCAGCCTCATAGGACAATCAGGGGTGAATGAAAATTCCTCCTACAAGCTTTAACCAGAGCTCTACTGGACACTGATAGAAGTTACAAGACTGCTCTAGCTGCTGATGAAGTATTTATCAGTTTATATTTACTAAAATGATTGCATTTCTATGTTCTGTGTAATGTGGGAGACCAGATATAGCGAAGGCTGGGTCAGGGGTTTAGTAACACTTTAAACTTCATTCACAGAAAATTACTTACATTACATGCAGGAATGCATGCATTTTCCATTTTTTATTGATTTTATAAATAAAAACATCACAATAAAAGCAGTTAAAACTTGGTGAAATGTTAAAATTATAAACAGAATAATTGCAGGGTGTGCTTTAGGTAAAGTTGCCAGGTTGTAACCCTTGAAAAAAGTCAGTACAGTTTTGCAGGTTTATCATGCATTGTTTATCTATGAGGGGTGTTCAAGTCAAACGGGGCTTTTGAATTAAATAAAAAAACAAAATTTCAAGGAGTGGAAATTTCAATATACTCCCCTGCTACATACAAACACTTATACCGGCGTTTAGTGCAGTGATGGAGAACCTTTTTGAGCCCGAGTGCCCAAAACTGCAACACAAAACCAACTTTTTTATTTCAAAGTGCCAACACTGCAATTAACCACTTGCCTACCGGGCACTTCTACCCTCTTCCTGCCCAGACCAATTTTCAGCTTTCAGTGCTGTTGCACTTGACAATGACAATTGTGCGGTCATGCAACACTCATTTTTTTCACACAAATTTTTTGGTGGTATTTAATCACCACTGGGTGTTTTATTTTTTGCACTATAAATGAAAAAAGAGCAAAAAATTAAAAACATAAAAGGTTTTCTTTGCTTCTATTATAAAATTTGCAAACAGGTAATATTTCTTCTTTGATGTGTGTTGGTGAGGCTGCACTAATAGGCAGCACTGATGGGCATTGATGAGGCGGCACAGATAGGTAGCACTGATGAGGCGGCACTGGTGGGCATTGATGAGGAGGCACTGTATGCAGCAATGATGGGCACTGATAAGCGGCACTGACAGATAGCACCAACTGGAGGCACTGACAGACGGCACTGATCGGCGGCACTGCTGGGCATCATTGATGGGTGGCACTGATGGGCAGCACTGATGGGCGGCACTGCTGGGCACTGACAGGTGGCACTGCTGGCGGCACTGCTGGGCACTGATGGGTGACACTCTGGACACTGATGGATGACACTGCAAGCAGTTAATCTCACCTCTGGCAGTGTCGGTGTGGCTTCCAACCCAGCAGCTCATTCTCATCCACGCTGAACACGTTGCCCCTGGCCCCGGAGCAGTGTGGGAGCCTCTTCCTCTCTTCCACGCCCATCCCCGGCTACACCACCCCTGGTGCCAGATCCGCATAGGAGCCGTTTCCTCTCGTCCACACCCACCCTGGCCCCAGAGACATGTGGGAGATGTAGTTTGATGGGGGTCCAGTGTGGACGAGATCTGGATGGCCGGTCAGTGTGCGTGGTCCGTGTGCGCTCATCTTCCTCTTCTTCCTGGTGTGCCCACTGAGATGGTTCTGCGTGCCAGCTCTGGCATGCGTGCCATAGGTTCGCCATCACTGGTTTAGTGCCTGGAAAGCTGCAGCATAGAAAGATTTGCCAGTACACCTGAACCATCCTAGGACAGCCTGCTTCACTTCATCATCATTGTGTTCCCACAGATTCGTTTTTTGTGCTTTTTCGCGACAGGTTATGAGTCTATTATCCAGGATCAGGCATTCCAAACGCTGAATGTTCACAGAAATGACTGCTGTGGGCTGAGAACCACCACGGCCGAGATCGTCAACGAAACGTTTGCAACATTAAAATGCTTACTGCAGCTGAGCGTTTCATCATCGTACTGTGCTTGAAGTCTTCTGTAGATATCCGTGGGTTTTACACCTTTGTTCAGAAGAAACTTCATCACCACACGCTGTTCCATGAACGCAATAACACTGTTGTCTGCCATCTTGATTAACAGTCTCTGGTCTGGCCTGTGACATGTGCACCGCCTTTAGGTAATAGGACACACTTGCCACTTACTACTGTATGTAGTACCGCCACACTAGCATCCCTTTTTATAAACTGTAAAATTAAAAGTCCCAGTTTGACTTTAAACACCCTTCATATCTTACCGACATTTTTCAAATGTTCTGGAGCATTCCTTATTCTCTATTATTTTGTACAAGTGAAGGTGTTTATTAAAAAAAATCAAATCAATTTGCCAAGAGTCAGACACTCTACTTCCTTTTGGAGATATGTGACAAATATCTTCCAATATAGTCAGGCTATTTCCCCAGTAATCCACGGAGTCATGCTTTATGGCAACATAAACTTAGCAAGTGAATATCAAAAGTATGAAGTCATCAAATGACTATTAAAATTTGTTCAAAAGAAAAAGCTAAAACGAACTTCCAAGAGTTTAAAACATGAATTACTGTTTTTTTTGCTTAAAAAAAGGTAAGCATGACTTAAAAGGGTTTTTGGTTTAAAAGTACAGTGCATTCATAAAGTATTCAGACCCCTTCACTTTTTTCAATGTTATGGTTCAGCCTGGTACTACTGTTATTTAAATTAGTTTTGTTATTCTCATTAATCTACACTCAGTACCCCATGATGACACAGTGAAAACAGAATTGTCTGAATTTTTGAAAAAGGAAAAACTGAAATAACACAATTGCATATGTATTCAGACCCTTTGCATCAACACTTAATTTAGTTCAGGTGCCTCTCATTTCTCTTGATCAAGCTTTTGAAAAAAGTGGACTTCTGTGTGTTTTGCAAAGGCTTCTGTCTAGCTACTCAACTACAAAGCCCAGATCGGTGGAGAGCTGCAGTGATGGTTGTCCTTCTGGAACTTTATCCCATCTCCACACAGGATCTCTGGAGCTCAGTCAGAGTGACGATCAGGGTTCTTGGTCACCTCTCTTACTAAGGCCTGTCTCCCCCAATTGCTCATCTTGGCTGGGCGACCAGCTCTTGGAAGAGTCCTGGTTGTATCAAACTTCTTCCATTTGAAAATTATGGAAGCCTTTGTGCACTTGGTAACTAACAGTGCAGCAGAATTTTTTTGTAGCCTTCCCCATATCTGTGCCTTGCAATAATCTGGTCTCTGAGCTCTGCAGGCAGTTCCTTTGACCTCATGGCTTTTGCTCTGATACAGTATGCATTGTCAGCTGTGAGGCTTTTTATTGAGAAGTGTGTGCTTTTCCAAATCATGTCATGCCAATCATTTAATTTACCAAAGGTGGACTTCAATCAAGATGTAGAGTGACCTCAGCAACAATAAAGAGAAATGGGAGGCACCTGGGCTAAATATTAAGTGTTGTTGCAAAGGTCTGAATACTTATGCCAATGTGATATTTCAATTTTTCTTTTTAATAAATTTGCAAACATTCCTAAAATTCTTTTTTCACTTTGTCATTATGGGGTACAGAAAAAAAATAATTTAAAACAATTGTAGTATCAGGCTGCAACATAACAAAATTAAAAAAACTGAAGAGGGTCTGAATACTTTATGAATGCACTGTAGGTGCTGCTGTAAAACAGCACACAGCTCTTTTTATTGAAAATGTATAGTAAAGCGAAGAAAGCATATCATTTAGACTACCAAGGTATCATCCCAAAGTTCAAAGGCAAAAGGGAACTGTACATGTGGGACTTTCAATATACCTTTGGTAGTCATCCAATACACAAATGAATACAATTTATAAGAAAAAATATAAATTTTATTCCAATATATTAAAAATATTAAATTAACCACCACCATATTTGCTTTATATGCTTAATTAGACTATGTGTTTCACGGCTTCCACCACTTTCTCAGGACCAACAAGGCATACAAGTGGTTTGAAGGATTGTGAAGGTTATACAACCATAAAATCAAGTTCTGAAACAAAGAAAAAAGTAAACAAATATCAAATGCAAATTATACATCCAATTAATACATACAACATCTAAAAAGATACCCCATATATATGTGAAAAATAAATTAAATTATTAATAAGCTGTCTCATTAACAATGGTTTCTTACTCCCAATGAGCAACCTGAGAGGAAAGAGAAGCCAAGGAGATTATATATCTTTGCTGCTGCGCTCAGTAAATGCGCCTGTTGGCCCATGGGAGAGATTCCTAGGAGGTAAACAATTCCAAGAGTAAACTCCCTAGTACCTCACAAACATAAAATCTCATAATATCCCATAGGTAAGAGTATATAAACTCACCAATAGCAGGTTAAAAGACTGCTCCTACGCTATCAATAACAGTGGTGATGGAGTATAATTAATATATATATATAAGAACAAAACGAAACCAGCGCTCAAATCTTCATGCAGACTAAGGAGATTCTGAATGCCAAACGTACAGCCCTTCAGAGATATATGTTCACTATATATATATATATATATATATATATATATATATATATATATATATATATATATATATATATATATATATATATATATATATATATATATTCCATTTGATGATGTGTGTATGTATGAATTGGATATATAATTTGTATTTGATATTTATTTTTTATTTTTCTTTAAGAAATGATTGTATAATCTACACAATCCTTTAAACCATTTATATGCCTTGTTGGTCCTGAGGAAGCGGTGGAAGCCGTGAAACGCGTAGACTACTTAAGCATATACAGCAAACATAGTGGTGGTTGTGTCTTAATGTTTTGTTGGATTTAATATTTTTACTATATTGGAATAAAATTGTTTTTTTTTAATAAATTGTAATCAATTTTGTATTGGATGACATCAAAGGTATATTGAAAGTCCCACACATGTACAGTTCCCTTTTGCCTAGCTCTTTTCATGTCTTGGATATTCCAACACTGAGATCTCCCATCCATATTTCCTGACTGTGTTCCAGTCCCCTTGGGAATGTTTGGTGTTCTGGCCCACCACTCCGGTTATATTCTCCATTACATAAAATAATTAAAACCCCTCATAATGGGCAGAGCAGGTGTGCAAACCAAGAAATCAAGAGCAAAGATTTAACCAGCAGAGGCTCTTAAAGTGATATTAATTCCTCAGTTTTTAAGCACTTTTAGCAACTGATTAATCACGGAGTATGCATCTTTATATTTGAATACTTGACAGTTTCAATTTAGACTAGCACTATGATTTCCTGTTTCTCAGGTTTCCTGTTTCAGAGTGGCTCCTTTCTCTTGCAGCATCCTACAGAGCCGCACTTGCGTGCAGGGACTAAAGTTGTGTCACCCCCACACTGTGCGCCTCAATAGAAACAGAGCCCCTAGCCTAGGATGGCAAGAATCTACCCTCACTTCTGAAAGCTAAGAGACTGGCTGGAGACTGCACTGTCCACTATTAATGCTTTTCTGTAAAGACCAGAGGTTCAGGGGAACAGCGCTGAAAGAGCGGGAGCTAGCTGCATTGAAAGCTGTAGACTGCAAGTGCCATGGTAGGAATTTTAAGAAAAAGAGTTCAATGGGGATGTTTATTTTATTGTTCTTAATGTGTTAAGCTAAAAAAATGAGGGTTTAATGCGATTTTAATGAGGAACTTTATTTCTTCATGTCAGAGCCTCCAGCAATGAGAACAGTGATATCAGCAGATCTCACTTCAGATTGCCTGACTGCCTTGGTCTCACACTGCACATATTCTAAGTGCCTAGGCACACTCATACCAGGAAGTGCACTATTTTTGTTTTAGGGAGATTCCAAAAAGTACATTTTTCAGAATACTGCTTAGATACAAATAACACTTCTAGATGTCCCATGCAAAGTGTAACTTCCGTTACAATGTGAAAACTCTGTTTGCCTTTAGTAAACGAACCCCCACCCCCCCCCCCCCCCCCCCCCCCCCCGTGTCTACTTTGTGCTAGTTAAAACTCTGCCATAATTGCGCTATAGAATTGCGCCCTGCACAACAGCACATGCAAGAATAGAAAATCCACCTGAACATCACATTGCCAGAACACCTACAAAATGCCCGTAATTCTTCTTTTTTTGCAAAATAACATTTCACCCCATTTGCTAATGCTTGGTTCACACTATTGTGATAAGACTTTGGAAGCAATTTTCAGCTCGATTATGTTGTGCAACTTTGGTTGCATTTTGGATGTGGTTTGCATGTTCTATAGGGCCAAAGTTGTGCTGGAGTCGCACCAAAGTAGTGCAGGAACTTTTTCCAAAATCGCACTGTGCTGAATTGCATTGATGTAAATGGACACAATATAATATGATTTGTAAATAATGTGATTTCCCTTGTTATATGACTCAAATAGCACCAGTGTGCACCACACTAAGCGCTGGGGAAGCACTTATTTGCCTTTAATAAAACTCCTAGCTATCCAATCTAATAGGACTTACAAATATTCAATCATGTGGCTGTTTTCCACAAAGGCAGCTGCTGTTTTTCTGAGACTGAAGTTGTTTTAGGTGACCAGCTTACATGCAATTTGACCTTAGCACTGTTCAGCATGCTCCATTTAACCATACATGCAGGGTCACAGAACAATAGGAAACAGAGTTTTGCTCAGCATTTGCATCCACGCCTACCTCCTACAATCATAGGGAGACATAGACAACATCCTCTGTGGTCACATAAACAGGAGGGAAAGGAATACATGGAAATGTAAGAAGGAAGAAAGAACAATTAAAAAGTTGAAAGGAAAGTTGAAAAACATAAGCGCTGTTTTATTTTTGTCAATGTAAATGAGCATTACCCAATATATTTTTCTTGGTTAACAAAGCAATTCCACAGGAATGCAAGTTTAGGAGATATTCACTGTACATATAGGTAAGCCTTACCTGTAGGTACAAGTTCAAAAACAGGGCTACATAGAGTAGGCTTAGAATGAGCCATCTACTTACTAAAATATGCTTGCTCCCATGAAAACATTTTTTAGAAGTTGAAAATTATTTTAAAAACAAGATAGTTCAGTTCTAGTCTCTCCAGAACTCTAGTATCATGTTCCCACAAATGCTTGCTTGTTTGTTAGGCTATAGGGTACACCAACAGATGGATAAATATGCCTGCAAACAGCGTGAACCTAGATATTCAGAATGCTTGTTGGGATTGCATGTTGGGCAGCAGTCTGTTCTGGTAGAATCAGAAGGACGCACAATTCAGTTTAAAAACATGTAACAAAAACTTTTACCCAGAAAGTGAGTCTGGTTTACACACATTGCACGATCAGACTGCAGTAGGAATTTCCCCAGCAGCCAATAGATCTTGGCTCAAATACCTGACTTGGCTTCAGGAAACACTTACGCTTTATATGAAATGTATAAAATATATATTTTACTATTAAATAAACTAGAGGTTCAGGATAATTTGCTGAGATAAGTGTACGATAGAGAAACTTCACCTGGTTTGTGACTAGGTCCAATAAATGTGTGCCTTCATTCATTTTCAATAGGTGCTCCAAGTCTTTGTCCTCTAGCTGAAGGTTAAACATCTCTTTGCTTACTCGGACAAAGTCTAAAAGAGTAAAATAAATGATGGCGGGTATGGCTTATAAAAAACAATGTTATTTAGCAAGAAACATACATTCCACATTAAAGCAGTAGTAAACGGCAACTTTACTAACACTTTAATAATTATGCTACCAAAATTACTGTGTGCCGTAAATTGCCTCCAGCATTGCTCCTTGCTGGTGGCTAACACTGACGTACAAAGCTGTCCACCATACTGCCCCAAATTACATCACCGACCTAATATCCAAGTACCACCCAACACGCACACTCCGCTCCCCACAAGTCCTCCTTCTCTCTAGTTCCCTGGTCTCCTCCTCCCATGCACGCCTCCAGGATTTATCCAGGGCGTCCCCCATCCTCTGGAACTCCCTAATCCAATCCATCAGACTATCACCTACTCTCCTCTTCTTTAGGTGCACCCTGAAAACCCACCTCTTCAGGGAAGCCTACCCCACCCCCTGCTAATTGACGACCTCCTCCACTCCTCCTACCACCCCATCCCCCACAGCTATCTCCTCCTGTACCACTATCCCCTCCCTCCTAGATTGTAAGCTCGAAGGAGCAGGGCCCTCGAACCCCTCGTGTATCGCATTGTATTGTTATTGTACTGTCGCATGTTCTGTCTCTCTTTGTAATGTACAGCGCTGAGCGAGCTGTTGGCGCTTTATAAATACTGTATATAAATAATAATAATAATAATTTTGCCATTTTTCTGAAGCCCAGAGCCCCTGAACAACTTTATATCTTTAGGCTGTCAGCAGATCGACCTCCAAAAATTCAGCACAGTGCTGAAAAATAGAAAGCAACTGATCATGTGCAGAGCAGGGAGAGACAGTGTATTACTGGATTTTAAAAAGCATAGGCATTTGTTTTTGATGGTTTACATAGCCTGCAAAAGGGTCCAGCCTGAAGTGATCTATCAGGACTTAATTTTCCGACTAAAGTTCCACTTTAAAGGGATGCTAAAGGTTCACTTTTTTGTTTTTTAAAAGCATAAACATGTCATACTTACCTGCTCTGTGAAGTGGTTTTGCACAGAGCAGCCTCAATCCTCCTCTTCTCGGGTCCCCCGCCAGTGCTGTTTGCTCTGGAGGCACTTGTGCATACTTGCGCCTGAGCCGCCTCTGTGTGCCTATAAGACACAAACAGCATGTCTTGGTCCGGCCCCCCCACTCCCACTTCACTGGCTGTCATTGACAGCAGCAGGAGCCAATGGCTCCCAGTGTGGTGTCTCAGCCAATGAAGAAGGAGAGACCCGGGAGAGCTGCTGCTCTCGTGCACAACACTGGATCGAGATCAGGCTCAGGTAAGTATCAGGGGGGCTGAGGGGGAGCTGCACACTAAAGGTTATTTTACCTTCCGGCATAAAGTGCATAAAAGTTAAAAAAAACCTTCATCCATTAGAACCACTTTAAGGTTCCAACTTCCACAAGCCAGGAATATAAAAGCTGGACTTCAATTTAAAAAACAAAAAGGCATTTTTTACTTGCCTTTAAATTCTATATCTTGGAGTACAGCACAGGACACATAACTTGTAGTCATAGACCATGGATTATATGCCACTACCTTCATTTGATTGGACACTAGCAAAAGATTTGCAGGGAACATCACCAGCTCACCCTCTCCATGGGGCTCAGACAGAGGAAAAAGGGGAGGAGGGTCCCATGTTCTGTACTCCAAGATATGGCATTTACAGTAGACACTGTTCAACAAATTTTTTATTTTTTGCCAGTTTTGGAAACAAAAGGATCCATTTCTTAACGAATTTCACATTCTGAGTTCAAATATAACAATGAAATTTGTCAATTGGCTCTAGTTTTTCTGTAAACAGAAAGTTTTCTACTATAGGCATAATGACTACATAATGCACAATAATTATATAGATAGATGTCTTTCCACAAATATAAAGCAAGTGATATTGACTACATAACAAAGCCTAAATGGCATAATATATTGCATAGGATTACCAAGAAAAATTATAGCCATAAGCTAAGTTGAATCATTTTAATACTTAGGATTCTCACTAGTTTTGTCTTCAGTTTGTGTCGGTTTTGCTTCTCTTGGCTTTTCTCTTGTATTCGAGGAAAGGGCTATCTCTTACAACTGCACGTGACTACACGCTTCAGGTTCTTCCTCACTTGACTCAACCACGAAGGATTCTGGTGCTTTAGGAATTGGTAGCCCCTCTCCATGAGGAACTGGACGTATTGCCGATGGAATATTTGGATAGTGCACAGATAACTTTTTCTTCTTATTTAGCCCTTTTACAATTGGAGGCACCATACAAAAGTAACAATTACTAACATGATCTGTTGGCTCTCTCCAAATCATTGGCACAGCGAAAGGCATAGATGCCTTTTTTCCATTCAACCATTGCTCCAGTGCCGTCCCACAAGAATTGCAGCATATATGTGGTGCCCAGCTCTTGTCCTGGTCTCCTATCTTGCAGCCAAAATACAAGTTGTAGGCTTTCTTAATCATTCCTGTTATCCTCCTTTTTTGTGAGATAAAAGTTATTTCACCGCAGATATAGCAGAAATTATCTGCTTTATTCACACAAGTTTGAGGCATTACTGAGTAGCCTATGTAAGCATAAAACGAAATGTAAAGACGCTGTCGAACTACAATCAGCTACAGATACTGCAGCTTTTATGCAGTGAAGTGATGCAATTAAAGGCTAATATTGCATCATCTCAGTATACATGCAATTTTCTATTGGTCACCAGTATCAATTGCGCAATATGCAGCTGAAGTTGCATCATAATTTTGAATGGCTTACGTCATTAGATGGGTGAATATATCATGGAAACTAGAGCCAATCAACATTTTTTAGGGTCATTTTCGGTTTCAGCACCCCAAAATTATGTAAGATTAGCTAATTTTATGCCCAAAACTTTTTACCTGTTGAACAGTGAGAGCCAAAATTCCCATTATTTTAATCATATAGTACAGGACTTGTTATAAAACATGGGATGTACTCAAGCAATAAACCTGAGGGGTGTGCAACAACATAGCATACAGCAACAAACAGGCCCACAGAAAACAAAGGTCAACAGGCCCAAAACACTCAGGTTGACAGCTTTAACCATTTGACCACCAGAAAGTTTTACCCCTTCATGATCAGGCCATTTATCACTGCATTTTAACTGCAAATTGCGCAGTCATGCAACACTGTACCCAAATTAAATTTATATATATTTTCTTCACACAAATAGAGCTTTCTTTAGGTGGTATTTGATCACCACTGGATTTTTTATTATATAAAAGAAAAAAAGACCGAAAATTTTTAATAAAATACACAATTTTTTTTACTTTCTGCTATAAAACATATCCAATAAAAAATTTTTAAAAATTTAATTACTTCATAAAATTTAGGCTAACGTATTCTGCTACATGCCTTTGGTAAAAGAAAAAAACCCAGTAAGTATATCATGATTGGTTTGTGTGAAAGTTATAGCATCTATGAACTGTGGTGTATATACACACATTGGAATTTTTTTTATAATAGTAATGGCGGTGATCAGAGACTTATAGTGGGACTGTGATAGTGCGGAGGGCAATCTGACACTAACTGACGCTGGCTGGAAGGCACACTGACGCCACCGGTGACATGAATACAGTGAGCAGTGATAATACTACACACTGGCTAATGACACTGGCTAGGAAAGGGTTAACATCTCAAGGTAATCAGGGGGTAAGTGTGTTCCTAAGAAGTGTTAATGTGTGTAATATGTGCTGCTTTTCATTAAATATCTATTTGTTCCTTCTCCCTCCATTGAGGCAACAACACAGAACAACACTTTTAGGGTACTTGCACACAGTACTGATGTAAGGACATATTTACATAGTTAATCTGATTGAATAGACTTTAGTCCATCCAGTTACAAAAAAAAAAAATACAACACACACAAGGGCGTCCGATTCCTGGCAGAAAATGGATACGTAAAAATGCAAGAGTGGGCTATATAATAACTGCACGTATGCATACACGTGTGTAAAAAAAATTTCAAGCTTTCCTTGGATTGTGTTGTATGCCCATATTTGTGAGTAAAATACTGTGCAGCAACCCAGTTTTTTTCTTTTTTTGTAAACGGATCTATACACATTACAAGTTTAAGAACCTGTGTGTACATGCTCATTAGAAACAATAGGCTGCATTTAGATCAGTAATCAAAAAAAAAAAAAAGTGGCATTTTAGGTGTCTGCATGTAAGAGGCCGAAAACAACTGTTTGATGTAACATAAAAAGTAAACAGCAAACGATAATGTAATTGTTATACGTAAATCACCTCCATAGGACACTGTTCCATTGGCATCCATCTGTACACGGGACCTTAATAAACGCTTCTGTTCCTCTGTTGGGCTTATGCCAAGAAAATGTAGCGCCTGCAGAAACATGAAAATGCAAACCATGAAAATGCAAAAAAATGCTGTTTTTTTTTGTTAGATCAGAACGGTGTGTCATGCCCACGCAGATCGAAGCAACATGTTTGCTTTCACCACTTGCCCCTGAGGATCTCCCCCCCTTCCTGACCAGGCCATTTTTTGCGTTACAGCCCTGCTTTACTTTAACTGACAATTGCGCATTCATGCAATGCTGCACCCAAATGAAATGTACGTCCTTTTTTCCCACGAATTGAGCTTTCTTTCAGTGGTAATTGATCGCCTGTGTGTTTTTTTATTTTTTGCACTATAAAAAAAAAGACCGACAATTTTGAGAAAAAAAACTATATTTTTGACTTTTTGCTATTAAATATGTCCATTAAAATTTTTTATCAAATTTAGACCAAAAATGTATTCTGCTACATGTCTCTGCTAAAAAAAAAAAATCCCAATACAAATAAATTAATTGGTTTATGTGAAAGTTATAGCATTTACAAATGGCGGTATAGATACTGGAATTTTTTTTTTCTACTAATAATGCCGGCAATCAGCGACTTATAGCGGGACTGCGGTGGGCATTCTGACACCGAGGGGAACTGACTTGGTGTCACTGACATCCCCAGTGATACCAATACAGTGATCGGTGCTAAAAAAAAAAAGCAGTGTACTAATGGCACTTGGCAGGAAGGGGTTAACATGAGGGGCAACCAAAAGGTTAACTGTGTGCTGGGAGTGTTTTACTATGGGGCGGTGTGTTGGTGCTTCACTGTAAGCAAACTGCTCTGGATGGCTGTGCACAGCCATCCAGAGCAGTGTGCTCAAGGTGACTGTTAGTAAACAAAGCAACCCTCCTCCCTGCCGGAGATCTTCGGTAATCACTGGGCACCGGTGGTGAATGGTGAATGCGGATAGGGCTCGCGCGCACACCCCCTACCTGGAAATGCAAAATCACATATATATACAAGTGATTTTGCGCACCCCTGCCGCCCTGTAGAAGTATATCTGCTATAGGGCAGCGGGGAAGCGATTAACATCCAGGCATGTACCTTTCCTTTACCTCCCTTTGTTCTGTTCACAGCCACAGGAAGTGAAAACAATATGTGGTATTTTCAGGCATGGAGACACATGTGACTTACTGTGCTGGTACTTGATGAATTGCCTGGCACTGTCACATGGGGCCAGAAGAGTTTTCAGCTGTGTGTAAGCTCCAGCTAGAGCTACATCGAGCTTGCACAGGGTTTAGATAATCTTTCTTCATTACTAACTTACCATGACTTATTCTGAATTGTGTCTATGTATGAAGGCGGCCATCCTGGTAGGAGCAAGGCTTTACTTCCTCATATGAGAGCCTCCAGTAAGGAGAACAGTGAGCAGCTCTGTAGCGTCATCATCAAATCTTACTTCAAACCTCCTGAGACTTGCAGTAGGAGGCAGCCATGCCTTAGATCAGTTTCTGAACCTTTTTCAGTCAAGGCACCCTTTAAACTTATACACATTCTTGAGGCACCCCTTTCTAAAATGCAACAACATCCACACACCTAACATTGGACGGGATTTATTTTTCCAAAGCAAATTCACCTTTGCACACTGGTATTGACCAGTTCTCCATTGTTCATCTTCTCACTAATATGACCCAAGTGCTGGCAGAGTGAGGCGATGGGTGCGATAGGGCAAACAAAATGCTGTGCGGGTACCCGATGTCTGCCTTATCTGCTATTTTTCAGGAATTCCAGATTAAAAAAAGGACATTTTTCAGGTTACTGCTTAGACACAAGTAACAAATGTCAATGTTTACGATATTCTTGAGTTGAGGTCCACTTTAAAGCAAGCCTGTGGCTTTTCTGTGAATGGGCAAAGTATTGGTTTGCTCCATGTCATCAGAACTGGTATTCGTGAAAATACTGACCACAGGTTCCAACTGGACTATCTTTGCGTCCAGAAGAAATGAGGCAGTACTATAATGTGTGCTAATAATATACACCAAGTGACTTCAGTTTTATGCACACCTGCCTGTTTATAGGCAAACTGCAAATAATTTGGACTAGAAATGGGATGACCTGGAAAAAAAAACCCGGAAAAATCGGAAAAAAAATTTTTTTTTTTCAAAGACATTTTTTTTGGGGGGTGGGCGATTCTCTGAAAAATTAGAAAGTGTGGAATATGTTATTTTACAATTATAAATATTATATCTATGACATGGTATTCAAACTAAATGACAAAGACCTTCATGAAAGACTTTTGAAACATTATGTAAAGTCTTAAAATATTGCAAGTGCTCTCAGCTGAAGACAAGCAAATCCTGGAATACAATTCAAGTAACACTGTACTTCTCAATGCAATTTTCAAACAAGAGAAATATGCATTTTTGATACTAGGAGGCACTGCAGGAGAAAAGCTTTAGGTAAGTTTGCTTGTGGGCTCCATCTTGTACCTACTACAGTTGGGTGATTGTTGGGATACAGTAGATGATAGTTTCTGTCCTTCTCTCAGGCCTTGATTGACAGGTAAGAGGGTAAATTTGTCTGATAAATTAACCCCTTCCCGCCGACGCCTCCTGGCCCTTTAAGAGATTCAGACGCCGGGAGGCGGGCGGTTGGGGCGTGGTTTAGGAATCATGTGACCGCCGTGATGACGCGTCACAGCGGTCACATGATCGGGGGAGGTCCCGATCGAAAGAGCGGACCGGGACCTTTCCGTGAGTACCACACATGTGTGCTGGGAGCGCGCAGGGCGTGCGCTCTCAGCACATATGTATTTAGTTCCATGAACGCAAATGTGCGGCTGCTCGGTGTCTAGGCCCAGACGCCTGGAGGCCGCACATTCGTGTGGGGCCGGCGCAAAGGGGTTAATTTATCTTTATAACCTTTGAGGGCTCGTTCATACCATGGTGCAGAGACATCAGTTTATCTGCGTGCGTTCTGCAAGGGCACAACAAAATAAATTGTTCGCTATGTGCCTTGTACACACCACAACACTAAAAAATGCCAAAACACTAAAAGATTTTTTTCTGCGCAGGAATCTACAGTGTGTAAAAAACTCATTGAAGCATGCATGAAAACTGATGTAAACGGATGTCTCTGCAAGTGAAGTCTGCGCATCAGTTTCCTTCCGTTTTTCTGCATGTATGGTGTGAACAAGGCCTAAAGGATTCCTATTATTGTTTTCCAGCATCACAGCATAATGTTTACCCATAGTCTACTCAGTAAATTGGTTTTACTTTCCTCCTCTCAGTAAAATGGTGAAACCAAAATCTAGAGTTTGGAAACTTTTCCACAGTGATGCCAGGGGCAGCTAGGTACATTAGGTCAGCAGTGGTGTATTTCTGTCACTACAGGGTTTCTTCAATACCAACCAAGTATAATTTAAAAGCCAAGGCAAACCTGAGTATTGTGGATGGCAATTTAAATGTTTCTGTGGGTACAGGTAAATGAAATATAACAGTCACTGAGTATATATAGTGTAATTTAAAAAAAAAATATCATTCTACACCATGTCATCATATTAGCATCTTACCATTTCCAGAGTTTCCACTTTCAGTCGGACATCAGGGGTAAGAGGAATCAACCTTTCCCGGCTGGGTCCCTGATGAGTAACTGTAAACAACAAACACCGGGGTGTGAGTTAATTACAGAGTTTAATGGTAATTCAATGCAGCTTGACTTTTCCTGCTCTGCTCAACAGCTAATCATCTGATTGGAAGAGTCAATCAACGTTTTTTATGACTGAGGTTTCTAAAGGTCATCACAGGAATAGAATATATAGAAGCGGCCACAGATACGGTGATTATGTGCCTATATAAGCATTCATAACTGTACTGTGTAAGAGCTAACGTCCATTACCAGCTTGTAGGGGCTCCCTACCACCTGCCCCGCCTGACACACGTTTTTCTAAATATAAAAGTTATGCATACATTTTCCCCCCCAGAGGTCTGATTATGCTTGCGGTAATGGCACAGATGTTTTCTCTACAGTGTTGGGCAGTCAGTCCTTTGCTCACATAAAGACACCCAAATGTCTTGCTGGGCAGTAGTACTGTGAGCACAGGCCTGCATGATGAACCAATACCAGGGTGACACCATTACAGCTGGGGACTATAGGGTTAGTCCACATTTTGCTGAAAAAATAATAAATGAACATTTTTTGCAGGTAAAAAAAAATGTGCATTTATTATTTTTGTTGCAGGCACCTGTAAAGCATTGCACCAGCGATCAGCAGATCAGTGCTGCCATGCAGGTCCTGCAGACCTGTCAGTATATCTGCGTGCCCACACAGGCCAAATTTTTTAAGATTTTGACAGCTAGCGGGAGAAGATCCCCAGCAAGCTGTCAAAGCGGGGGAGCAGGGGCTGGTCTATTCATAACATAAAAAATACATGTAACATGTAGCATGTTATGAAAGGTGAACTTATCCTTTTAAAAAATGGAATTAAATGATGTTGGGTGTTATTAAATTTAGAAGAGGAGCACCATTAGAGGAAAGGACTTTATGCAGGTTGCAGCACAGGGATGCTCAACCTTTTGAAGAGCCAGGGCAACTTAGGCAATTTGGTAACCAGTCGGCCACAATGCAATGAAACAGTTCAGAATTTGTCAGCAGATGAGCTTTAATGCTGAGAGGCCGCAAATATATATATATATATATATACCAAAATGTAAACAATGCTGTGCTGAGAGCGCACCCAGCATGCTCCCAGCAGGTAATGGAAAGCTCCTGACTGCTACTTGCGATCAGGTGCATTCCGAGCATGTGACCCCTGTGACAGCCAATCACAATGGTCACATCATCGCCTCCCGGTGTCTCAAACCTCTTAAAGAGCCAGGAGGCACAGGCGGGAAGGGGTTAATAGCATAATGAAACTTTCCTCCTGCAGCCGCTGAAGACCGACAGGAGGAAGAGGAGAAGTTGGCTTTCAGCAGTTGCAGGAGGAAAATGGAGAGGATCGGTTCCTGTATATGGCCACCCCCCCCCCCCCTTCTCCAGCCTCTCCTACTCAAGTGTAAAATAAAATGTAACAGGGAGGTTACACGGGTCCCCTGGAGCATGTGGCGGGGCCACCAGTGGTTGCGAGGGCATGGTAAAACATGTCTCAACTCAACATGTCTGTAAATGTAAACAAACCCTGACTGTACTGAACCTAATAAAAAGGCTGCTTTCACACCGATGCACTGTGTTTAACCTGCTCCACAGGTGCAGTGGAGTGCACCTGCGGCTTTCCTGCATTCAGGAGTTTTGGTGCACTTTCAGAAAAGGCACCAAACCCGCAGGATACAATAGACGTGCGCTTCCCTGGTTTGAGGTAGAGGGCTCCGCGGGCTACTGGTTCAGCACCCCAGTTGTAGCACCTGATTTAAGCTGAGTATTGTAGCAAAAGCTTTTTTCTTTTCTTTTAAGAAATGTTGGACAAAGATTTTTTTTTTTTAATAATAATGGAATTCTGATTGTACCACTTGAGTACTGAGTGCCATTTTAAAATGGTACAATGACAGCGACTGTTTGTTCCAGTGCTGTTTCACAACCACACATAATTTCCTGCAGGCCCCCGCTGGCACTAATGCTGGAACGGCCAGTAATGACAGGCTGGATCCAGCATTAAGCCCAGGAGCTGACCATGGTTTTGCTGCACAGTGTTCATAAAATATTCCCTCCCAATACCAACCCCAAGATTGCAACAATGGTGTTGGATGATCTGGATGACATCTGCATTTACCATGCAAGTGCCAAATGCTCATAAATGTGAACGCAACATCATTCAAATGTTTAACAATGCTGATTAACCTCTTAATGCGTTGCTTCTGTAGCATGTGACCACTGTGACTGGCTCTCATAGCAGTCACATGACCGAGAGCCTATCCCGCTGGCTCCCATTTAAAAGCCATGACCAAGAGTTGCCGTTGAGAACTCTGTTGATGTGCTGCTGTGGACACATATATGGATGTTGAAACTTAAATTTCTTGCTGCATATAGCAGTTATGTGGTTGAAAGAGGATAATCATTACTCTAACAATTTACGAAAATAGTTTTTTTTTTCCCTGCAGGGGAATAGCAGCTCTCCTAAAGTAAAACACATATACAGTCATGGCCAAAAATATTAACACCCCTGCATTTTTGCAGATAATGCACCACTTCGCCCAGAAAATTGTTGCAAATTACAAATGTTTAGGCATTTTCATGTTTATTTCTTTTGTTTGTATTAGACTTGTTTATATTGGAATAGACAAAATTATTGGCACCTTCTCAAAATTGTAAGAAACAATTGCATTCCAAGTTGGTGATGCTGCTGTAATTTGTAATTAAAGCGATACTAAAAATACTTTTTTTTTTTTTTAAATAACAAACATGTTATACTTACCTGCTGTGTGCACTGGTTTTGCACAGAGCAGCCTGGATTCTCCTTCTCTTCTCGGGTCCCCCGCAGGCTCTCCTGGTTCCTCCTTTCTGTCGGGTGCCCCCCTAGCAAGCAGCTTGCTAGGGGGGCACCCGCTGCTCCATGTGTCCATTCGCACACGGCACCACGGCTTGGCTCTGCCCCCTCTCCCCTCACTGGCTGTGATTGACAGCAGTGGGAACCAATGGCTCCCGCTTGCTGTCTCAGCCAATGAGGAGGCAGAGACCTGGGACAGCCGAGGCTGTCATGTACATCGCTGTATCTTAATGGGGCTCAGGCAAGTATTGAGGTGGCTGCTGCACACAGAAGGTTTTTTACCTTCATGAATAGAATGCATGAAGGTAAAAGAAACTGGAACCTTTACAACAGCTTTAAACTCACCTGTATCATTTAGCAGCATTTTTTAAACAGATTTATTTTTTAAATAACATGTTATCCTTACACGCCCTGTGTAATGGTTTTACACAAAGCAGCCCCAAAAAACATTCTGTATGCAGCAGACACCTCCCCCCCCCCCAGCCCCACCAATATGGTAAAAAAAAAAAACCTTAAGCCTTTACAATCACTTTAAATTCTTAGTGCATGAGGCCTAAAAAAGTATAATATGTGGAAAGATCTCTTCTGAATGAAAAAAAAAATGCTCTGAGACTTTAAGTGTTACTAAAGGATATTTTTTTTTTTTTAATTAAAATAACAAACATGTTATACTCACCATTGCACAGAGTGGCTCCAATCTTCCACTTCTGGGGTCCCCAGTAAGCGATCTTGGCTCCTCTTCTTCTTGTGCCCTCATAGCAAGCAGCTTGCTATCGGGGCACACAGTGCACGCTCTGGGTTGCCTATGGGGCAAACAGTGCATGCTCGCTCCCGAGCTGTGTGCTTCTATGGGCTTGCGCTTCATAGACACACACAGCGGGTCTTGGCCCCACCTCTGATCCTTCTTCATATCATTTGATTGACAGCATCAGGAGCCAATGGCTTGAGTCCCTGTGTGAAGAGGGAGAGAGGGAGCAGGGATGTAGCCGTGCACAGCACTGGCTCTGTTCTCTCCTCTCTTCCTCTTCATACAAGGAGGGGAGGACAGAAAGCCATAAAACGGTTTTTACCTTAATGCAGGGAATGCATTAAGTGGAAAACATTTTGGCTTTAGAACCTCTTTAAGGAGATTTAGGGACAAACAGGCCAGAGGGCTGACGTCCACAACAAAGTGCATTGCAATAAAGATGGCGTATGTATAATCTTCCATTTTCTCCTTTTCGTTTCATATCTGTTCGATTGTCTATATTTTATAGGTTGCTGTAGATTTGAACTCTGGGCAAGCAGCTAATTACTGTACATATATTGTTTTACCAGGCATAGAAAATGCAATTGTGTTCGGCCAGTCAACACAGGCCCTGACCTCAACTGCAGCAGCACTGAGTGGTCAACAAAACACCACCAGCCTGATAACAGGATAGTGAAGATGCGGCAGCACACAAGGTCATCCCTCTGCTCACTGTGAACAGAAACATACATCATTCTAAACGAATACATAACAGCATTAATTAGTATTTTATTTGACATTTGCCTGGAATTCCTGCACAAACTGTTTAAGGGCATTAGTGTACAGTATGCTTCCAAGAATTGCGATCTGCAGCATCCTACACTCAGGATTCCAAGTAATTTTGCACTAGAATCAGAAATTCAAAGAAAAAGACTAGTATGGAAATACACATTTGAAAGTGATGGGGATGATATGAATCTATTTTACACGGTCACATGACAACTATGCTGCATTGAAGAGTTAGTTGCTCCCCTGTTACTATGGATACATCATCTATTGCCAGCCAGGGCAGACTACATCCACCTCTGCATCTAAGGACTGCTTATCTGGTCCTATTACATTGACAAGGAGGGTTCCTCACAGAGGAAGCATTGGCGCCAGCTGCTGTCAATCAAATTTTATGAGCAGAGAGCGGGGCCATGCTGCGTTGTCTATGTCTATAGATGCAGGCAGTGTAGCACAGGTTCCAGCCCTTAGGTGGGCCCCTATAAGTAGCGGCTTTCTATGGGGGCATCTAGGCGATCCAAGCTAAGCGGAAGAGGGTACCTGCCAAATATGACAGAGGAGCGGTGGAGGAGAAACAGCTGAACTTCCTCTTTTGGGTGAAGTTCCGCTTAAATTATTAAACAATTGCATGCAAACCCTTCAGAAGATTTTACCCCCCTTCATGACCAGGCCATTTTTTGCTATAAGGCACTGTGCTACATTTAACGTGGCCATGCACCGTTGAACCCAAATGAAATTTATATCATTATTTCCCACAAATAGAGCTCTCTTTTAAAGGTATTTCTGCTATAAAAAAAAATATTCACTAAATAAAATCAAATTTCTTCATAAATGTAGGCCAAAATGTATTCTGTTACGTGTCTTTGGTAAGAAAAAAAAATGCCACTAAGTGTATAGTAATTGGTTTGTGTGAAAGTTCTAGTGTCTACAAATTACGGTATATAAGCTGTTTTTTTTCCATGGTTATTCATTTTCTTATACTAGTAATGGTGGTGATCAGCGACTTATAGCAGGACTGTGACAGTGAGGCGGGCAATCTGACACTTTGTGGGAACTGACTAAGCGACACTGACATCTCCAGTGACACCAATATAGTTATCAGTGTTAAAAATATACACTCTCACTGTACTAATGACACTGGCTAGAAAGGGGCAATCAAGGGGTTACCTGTGTGCCTAGCAAGTATAAATGTATTTACTGTGTTCTGCTTTGTACTACAGATATTGCTTTGTTTCTTTTCCCTGCTAAGCACAGAAAAGAAACAAAGCAATCGTTTCCTCTGTATAGAGCTGTGTTGTTTACCAACAGAGCTCTAGGCTGTGATTTGACACAGCCAATCAAGAGGTCCCGGCCATGAATCATTGGCCAGGATCTATGAACTCCCGCTTTGGTAGATCACAGGGCAGCACGCAAACTGGGGCGCGCATGCGCACCCTAAACCCGTAAATAGCCAGTGACGTACCAGTATGTCACTGTCAGGGATCGCCGCGGCACTGGTCCTGGCGCAGGCGCAGTGCGCCGCCCTGCACGGGGATACGGGCACTAGGTCCAGGCCGGCCGTGCGACAACGCGCGGGCGACAAACTCGCGCATGCGCACTACATTCCACGGGTGCGCGCTTGGCACCAATGACAGCGCAGGGCGCGATATTTAAATCCCCCTGAGCTGTCACTGGTTGCCGTTTGGTCTTTCCTGTTCCCTGATCTGTGTGTACCTGTGTTCTGATAAGTTGCTGACCCGGATTGCTCCTGACATTGCTGTACTCTCCTGCCCTGACCCTTGGCTTGCCTGACCTCTCTCCTGGATGCCCCCTGTTGGTTCTGATCTACTGCTGCTGACCTGGCGTGTGACCCGACTATTCTCTGCCCGCAGTTTTGTACCTCGCAGACCCCACGGCTCCCGACTCGGCTCGTTTGACCCTGCACCTGCTCAGCCATCCATCCCATCGGGATCACCCGACCTCCTCATATCACGCTCTTACTCTGCAGAAGCCCTCGGCAGACGCTTCTACCATTGGTAAGTGTGCCCAGTAGTCGCGACCTGGTCTCGGTGCGCTCCAAGTCCATCCCCACCATCAGGGGCCCTGGTGAACAAGTGCTCCGGAACTTAGATTCCGCACTCTGGAGCACCTGACCAGTGGAGTGCTAGAGGTACCGCCGGGCGGTCCCTTACGGTCGTGGTGTCTGTAGCTGCAGTACGTACTGTGGAGGGTCGGCAAGTAGTTAAAGTATTCAAGATTACAGAGCTGCGTGCATTAGCATTTTTATAGCCGTCTGGAGTTCAGCTTTAAAGCCTATTACTAGCTCTCTCCAAAAGAAAAAGACTTCCCAGTAGCCAATGTAGTACTTGCCTGCTGCTGCCCTAACCTTTGCATGCTCCTTCCCTCTGCTGCATTAAAAAAGGCAAAGAGAAAAAGCAATCTACTTGAACATGGCATTAAATTGAAAGCACGCTGCCGCCATGGTAACCTAATCTCACTTGATGATGCAGACGTCTGTTCATTATGTGTCTTCTGTGAGATCTATTGATTACTTGAGCTACTTGGAGAATGCTCGGCCATCTCATCCCAGTTATTTCAAGCCTCTCGGCTGTAAGAGGTCTGCTGGAGGGCCTTATTTTCGGAACTCTCCGACATCTCATTCAGCTGCCTTTTATCCGCTTTTTCTAAAGAGGCGCCCGCGTCTTTTGTACGGCCCATAAAGCCTGCATTACGAGACAGGCTTTCTACAAGATGGGACTGAAATTAAAAGTGTGAAAATCGTGCAGAGAAGGTTACCTGTCGCAGACGCGTCTGAGAGGTTTCGACCCAAGGGAGAGATTAAGCACGACTCTTTAATATATCCACTCTGACCCTGTGCAAATAAAACAGAATTGAAGCGGGAGTTAGAACCTTGAGTAGGCAACTTATAAAAATCTTCTGAAATGATTGCCAACAGTAACAAGTACACTCTGGTCTAAACCGAAAACCACCACTGGAATGCAAATGGGATGTGTCTGGAACTCCCAGATCTTGTTAGAACCCCTCATTTCACCTCACTAGTAGTCTCTCCGTAGCCTCCCTAGCGGTCTGATTATGTCAGTATTTCTGTGCTCAAAGCGGTACATTTTTTTGCATGGAAATATGTATTTTTTTATTGTAGGCCTGTAATTTTTAGGAATAACTCACTGAAATCTGTCCAAACAAGAGTCTAGTAAATATCCCGGGTAGGATAAAATTTGAAACACGAAACCATAAATTATAATTTAATAAACAATCATAAAAAATATTATAATAATAAGTTTAATTCAATAATATAATCAAACCAAAAACACTGAAATTTGAAATATAGCGCCAAGTTCGCACATCACTGAGCAAAGTCGCAAAATCGTTTTCAGTGTCTGATGACGAATTTCCCCCACGAATCATTATCACTCAATTCTGCAAGTGGTTCTGATTTACTATTGCTGTTCTCTAGCTGGTCTAAAACCGCTTTTGACCTAAAGGGTTGCTTTTTGGACGCCATGGACATTTCTCGGTTGCCAGGCAGAAAGAACAGTAAAAATGCAGGCAGAGCACAGGACAAAGCACTCGGGACAAATGTATGTGAAATGGTTTGATACAGTAATGTAATACTATGTGATTTTAGTGTATTTAGTGAATGTCACTTTTTCACATTTTTAAATTTCCCGCCAGTTCCGTCCCCCGTACGTCCTGATGACGCAGGGAACGGTACCCAGAAGACGGATGCCAGCATCGGCCGGAGGACATTGCCGAGGACACTACAGGGGGGACATCGCAGGAGTGCAGAACAAGGTAAGTGAAGAAGAGATCCCGGAGCAATGCTGCAGCGTATTCCGGAGTGTAGCTCGGGGTTACCACTTGTGGTGCTGAAACCTTACCCCGAGCTACACTCGGGAATACCTCCAGGGAGGTTAATACCACCACTGGTGTTGGGGGAAGACTAATTTATAAGCTTTGTGGACATGCAGGTCAGGTAATTCTAAGTACTCTCCAAGAAAAGCTGCAAATTACATGGCAGATTTCATTGATGATTCTCATTGTCCATACAAGGCACAGGATTACCTTTCCTTTTCACAAGGAATTTTTTTTGGGCCAATCACGAGATACCAGTGCTGTCAGATGGGAAAAAGAGAAGGAATTATATGCCCACCCATATCTGAAACTGTGGGTAATTTTCTTCTCTTAACAGCAATGAAGGTCAGCGACCTGGTTGTTGTGTCTAGCACAGCAATGGGCAAACTACGGCCCCCGGGCCGTATACGGCCCTGGCGGACCTTTTAATCCGGCCCGCGGAGCTAGGTTCCCGCCAGGCTCCTCTCACAGTCCGCTCTGAAGACCGGTGTAGCATGAAAATCTGTCTCCTATGAGGATCTGTCCCCCTCGACGTATCTGCGCATGTGCCGGAGATCGCCGATCGGCTGCTAATGCCTGAAACTGGCACATGCGCAGATACGTCGAGGGGGACAGATCCTCATAGGAGACAGATTTTCATGCTACACCGGAATGGCGCGGGAACACGGCGAGAGGAACGCACGGAGCAAAGGTAAGTGAATTGACACAGGGGGGACTTGGGGACGTAATATGGGGGATGAATTAATATGGGGGATGAATTACTATATGGGGGATGAATTACTATGGGGGATGAATTACTATATGGGGGATGAATTACTATATGGGGGATGAATTACTATGGGGGATGAATTACTATATGGGGGATGAATTACTATAGGGGGGATGAATTACTATAGGGGGGATGAATTACTATATGGGGGATGAATTACTATATGGGGGATGAATTACTATATGGGGGATGAATTACTATATGGGGGATGAATTACTATATGGGGGATGAATTACTATGGGGGATGAATTACTATGGGGGATGAATTACTATGGGGGATGAATTACTATGGGGGATGAATTACTATATGGGGGATGAATTATATACTATGGGGGATGAATTACTATGGGGGATGAATTACTATATGGGGGATGAATTACTATGGGGGATGAATTACTATAATGGGGGATTAATTACTATATGGTGGGATTAATTACTATGCTTACTATGGGGGAATATTACTATACTTACTATGGATGACACATACACATCATTCATCTACTCTTGGTCCGGCCCCCGGGTCCAATATATGAACCCATTGCGGCCCTCAAGTCAAAAAGTTTGCCCACCCCTGGTCTAGCAGGACGTCAAGATTTGATAAACAGAATTACAAATTGTTTGGCAGGTAAGACAGTTCACCCATATGTATTACAACTGTCTTTAAAGTGGAGCTAAACTTACGTTTTCTTGAATGGTCCCTGTCCCTTTGCTCGTATCCTCTTCTGGGTACCGGGCTTCGGCTGTCTTCATTGGCAGGCACTGCGTATGCGTAGAAGTCAGTCATCCTGGCACACAGGGACCGTGTTTGCGATGTAAGCTGAACTGCACATGCGAAGCTCAGTTTACATGCTGGAGAATGCTATGAGCAAGGAGGTAGGTGTATTTTATATAATATATTTTTTCTCTGAGGATGTGCTTGGCACGTAACACATAAGGAGGAGCCTACGCACGCCGTGACGTCACGCCGTCGGAGCATCGTGGAGCTACTATATCTGATAGGACGGGAGCATTTTTTTCCCAGACATCGTTTAGACCAGTGGAGGAGTCGTGCACTTTTGGTGGAGCAACGCCCGTTCCTTCCTATCACCAAGTGGAATTTATCCTGCTCAGCTCTGCACAATCTGAGGAACTTTTTTTGATCAGGGGAACATCTCTCATTTCCATTTCGATGAGCACTCCACGAGCCTGATGATTACTACACTGCACATTTAATGTGTACATCTGGTTAGTGTGCATTTATACTGCAAGTCACCTTTGTTGGGACTTTTTTAAACAATATTTACTTATTGTGACATATTTTTAGGCATTTGTTTTTTATGTTTTATTTTAGCGCTGCACTTTATTTATACATAATAAAAAACGTGCTTGCTCGCAGTTTATGACAGTGGAATTTTAGTTCCACTTTATCTGTCTGCCTAAAGATCTCCAGGCAAAAAAAAACTCTCTCTCTCTCTCAAAAATGGAAACACTACATGATTTGCAGGTGTGAAAGTGACATGTTTTGCGTTGAAAGTGGAAGTGATGTAACACTCTTGTTTCCGCTATGTGATGAGACACCTAGCTGACAAGGTAGGAAACCTCACTTTCGTCATTAACTGAATGCACTGCTAGTAATAGAGTCATGTCAGAGCTTACTGAGCTTCAAAGAGGCAAATTCTTGGTGCCGCTTAGCTGGTGCTAGGTTATGATGGCATATACAGTTCCCAGGAAAACATTGTCTGATAAGCACAAGTGCGGTTGACATGGTCAACTGACTGAAATAGACAAAAGGACATTGCGCAGGATTGTGACTCGGAATAGGAAAACAACTGCTGCAACAGTGACTGCAGAGCTCAATTTCAGTCCCGTGAAGACTGAGAATGAGCTCTGCAGTCACTTCAGCAGCAGTTGTTTTCTTATTCCGCTTTCAAGGTGAAACGTCATCACTTTCATACCTCACACCAAATTATGTAGTGGTTAGGGACTGAAATTGAGCTCTGCAGTCACTTTTGCAGCAGTTGTTTTCCTATCTCCTAGATTGTAAGCTCGAAAGAGCAGGGCCCTCGATCCCCTCATGTTTTGCATTGTATTGGTATTGTTCTGTCCCATGTTCTGTCCCCCTCTGTAATGTACAGCGCTGAGCGAACTATTGGCGCTTTATAAATACTGTATAATAATAATAATAATTCCGAGTCACAATCCTGCGCAATGTCCTTTTGTCTATTTTGGTCAGTTGACCATGTCAGCCGCACTTATGCTTATCAATGTTTTCCTGGAAACTTTATATGCCGTCATAACTTAGCACCAGCTAAGCGGCACCAAGAATTTGCCCTCTTTAAAGCTCAGTAGCTCAGAAGAAGCAGAATATATGTTAGTATGAAAAAAAAAAATTATGTATCTAGTATACACACTGTATGTTGAGTGATTTTTCATTTTGAGCTTGCAGCTTTAGTTTAATTTACAACTTGCACAAAGTCACATTTCTCACAAAGAAAAAACTCCACTGAACTTGAAAGAAAAAAATTCAGGTATGGATATTTTATACATAGTTATACTGTAAATATGCATACAGCACACCTGTCTGATCCCCCTGGAAATCACTAAAATAGACACTACTATTCCGGTGATCTGTTTGTTTCCAGGTACCTTCCCAAGAAGCTGCCCTGCTGCATTCTGAACATAGGAGGTTGGATGCTCGGCATGGGCACCATTCAGAGAATGTTTTTCATTTTACGAATGATTGGACAAAGTGGAGAGGTGGGTTATGATGCTGCACTCTCCACCTTATCCAATCAGGGAGAACGCTCTCATTCATTCCAAAGATGCAAGAAGGCATTCAATAACAGTGCCCAAACCAAGCAGTCAACCTTCAGTGTTCAGAATGCAGCAGGGTAGCCTCTCGGCACGGGACCCGGAAGCTAGTGGAAATGACCGGCGTAGTGATGTAGTGGTTTCCAGCTTCCAGGGGCATTGGTCAGGTATGTAGAAAATATCAATACCTGGAATTCTTCTTTTAAAGTTTTAATATAAAGGTAGGACATTAATGTACATACAGGTCCACAGGCACCGGAGGCATTTGAAGTGGAAGACATTCTCAGCTTGATGTCCCTCGGCATCTGAGCATTCTGTGTCAGTGAAGCTGAGCCTGCAGGCGTGTGTCCTGGTCTGAAGAAGGCGATTTCCCAGCAAGTACTCTTCCTGCAAGCATTAAACGGAACATAGAATGATTTTGTATATATTTTCTTTATGGTCAAACAATGAAAACCAATTTTACAAAAAAAGAAAAAAAATTTAAGACGGTAAATATGAATGATTGTATATGAAAGTGTTGAATTTTGATATGCAGTCAAACAGGTGAAACAGCAAGAAAACATTAGCTTAACAACATATAAGTCTCTGAAGGTGCCGATCCAGACAGGTGTAGAGACCAGCTCATAAAACAAAGAGCCTTGACTGAAAAGCAGAAAATCTTGATAGAAAAGGCGTCCAACCCAATAGGACACTAGCATAAACGGAGGCATGCTGGGTAGAATAGGGATTGTATAGGGGCCACATACATGTACTGTTTGCCAGTGTCCCAATCTCCTGCAGGTGGCAAAATAACATGACTGTACAAGAATGGACAATAGACAATAAAGAAAAGGCCCCGATTGGCCCTGTGCCGATCACATGCACCCGCCCAAAAAAAAAAAAAAAAATCCTCTAGCAATGCACACCAAACAATGCATGTGCAGAATGCCTCCTAGGGCTCTGTGCTATCAACAGATGGATTGGGGACAGTAGAAGAAGGGGAGGATCAGAGAACACAGGATCAAAACAGCCTTTTAACACAATGCAGAGGACTAACCCCTTAGTTTCACAGTGAGTGTAACAAACATGCTTTACTGCATATACAGACTGATTTTACTGTTGTGGGTTTAGTAACACTTTAAGCCCTGATCACTGTCTAATTCACAGAGGGATGTTGGATTCCTATCGCCCGACGCCCGGGACATGTATTTCCGGACGCCGGGCAGGTAATTTTTTTCTTCCTTTAGCCCTGCTGCGGGCAAGCAACGGGCTCACCTGTCAGGTGGAAGAATTCAGCGGCAGCGCTGCGCTGATTGCTTCCACACAGTGCCAGCCTCTCCACGCCCAGATTCCGCTTGCCCATCTGCGGGCTCGGCTCGCCGTCAGCTAGAGAGGAGGGAGAAGAGCGGACAAGTCCCCTCCCCTTCTTGTGCTGACCTGGAAGTTACATCACTTCTGTGTCTCCGTTGAGCGATTGTAATGCAATTCCCAAGAAAGAATGTAATATAGGGCGATGTGCACCACATTACATTCAGGGGAGCAGAGGGGAGGCATACAGGGTCTTTTAGACCTTGGATGTCTCAAAGAGAACCTGTCCAAAAATCATCACAAAAGGGAGTTTTTTGTTTTTTTTTATTGTAAAAAATGAAAGTTACACCCAAGCACATACCATCCCCCCAAAACAATATTGAGGCCCTCACCCCCACATATACGCATGTACAAACGTAAAAGTACACGCTGGGGCGCCTACACATGAAACCGTTGATTGCGATACACGTCACCTTTCACTGCGCACGCCAGAATGAGATCAATAATTCTAGCACCATACCTCCTCCGTAACACTAAACTGTTGACCTATAAAGAGCTTTAAAAGTGTCAACCTATAGAAAATATAGGGAACTGAAGTTCGTCACCATTTCACGAGCGTACACAAATTTACTGTTAGACAAGTTGGATATCTATTTACTCGCTGCAACCTCATCTTTTATATTTTACAAAAAAATAGGGTAATTTATTACTTTTTTTGTGCCCTAAAATTAACTTTTTACTAACCTTTGGCGGTAAAATCATGCGACATAAAAAATTGGAACTACCACTACTTTATTCTCTAGGGTCTCTGATTTCAGAAAAAATATATGTTTGGGGGTTTTCTACAATCTGCAGGCCTAAAATTATTGTTTAAATGTGTGCAGAAAAAAACGCAAAAAACGGCTCTGGCAGTGAAAGGGATAAAGTATAAGCCCTGACCCACCCTTTCCTGACGAGCAGCCAATCGTTGTTCATCACACTGCAAGGCCTCCCCCCTCCCTGCTAGTTCTCAGGTGCGGTGCTGGAGACAAGCAGGAGGGGAGGAGGAGATAAACAGCGCAATGTTAAAAATTTTACACGTTTAAGTCGCCATAAAGCCTCTTTTGTTTTTAAAAGCCCCACACATTCCTAAAATCACCTCCGATTTAAATACAGATTTGGTTAAAAAAAAAAAAATGTTATCTAGACAAGTAGATTGTCATGAGGGACAATTAGATTGGGGCCCCGATTTAGTCCCTGGACAAGAAGTTTTTTCAAAAAGTTCCACACCCCTGTTCACAGCTATTACTGTTCTCTCAGCAGCTCAGCTTCCCCTCCCCCATCCTCCTAGCAGTGACTTAGCAGCCTCTTCAAGCAGCAACTTGGCAGCTGAACTACAGGCAAACAGCTAAATGTAATGATGGACTCCATATGTGAGAGCTGTTCTAGAACCCCGATTCTAAAAAAGTTGGGACGTCATGTAAAAATATACATAAAAATAGAATGCAATGATTTGCAAATCTCATAAACCCATCTTTTCTTCACAATTGGAAATAGAAAACATATCAAATGTTTAAACTGAGAAAATGGACATTTTAAAAAAAAAAAAAAAAAAAGGTAATATTGGAATAGATTACACAGCGTCCCAACTTACTTTGGAATCAGGGTTGTACCTGCCCAAGAATTTGTATTTCTGCCCATGAAGTACTAAGATTTACACAGCTCTGCCACACGGCACAACCAGCCCTGTGACCAGCCTATTTTCTGCAGTAGTTGTAAAATACAGCTATGTCACCTCTCCAGCCTGTTACTGAACATGGAAGGAGTAGCAGTAAGTTGATGAGGTCATCAATCTGCTCTGTAATAACAGTATGTTCCAGTATGTTTAACAGTTAAAAATAAAAACCCCAGTGTTGATCAAATACCAATAAAAGAAATCTCTATTTGTGTGACAAAAATTATATAAATTTCATTTGGGTACAGTGTTGCATGACCGCGCAATTGCCAGGTAAAATAGCGCAGTGCTGAATAGCAAAAAAAATGCCCTGGTCATGAAGGGGGCAAAACCTTCCGGAGCTCAAGTGGTTAAAGTAATATAATGTAAAATTAACATAAAAACCAACCTTAATTTCGCTCTGTTTAAAATGCTTTTGGCTTCATCACAACACACGCCAATCAATGACTCTTTATTCACAGAAACAAGCTGGTCTCCAGGCCGCAGTCGTCCATCCTAATTAAAGGGATACATAAAGTGGAAATTATTGACAAAAAAAAAAAAGTTTGTGAAAAGTATTCCTTAATTAAGTGAGGTGAGTAGTAAAGAGAACAAGAACATAGATTATGGCTAAGGCTAAATCAGGTGGTGGTACACACCAGGAAAGTAAAAAATAAAAACACCCCGTAGTCCAGTTTATTTTATCTATATACAAATAAAAGTGCAGCACTAAATATTACATCTCCAATTCAATCATAAAGTGCTTAAGTGAATATAGTGAGCAGACAACATCAATGTGATATGAACTTGATAAAACGCACGTATTCCTCACCAAATCTTATAAAACAAATGGTAAATAAAATGTCCGTGACACTACAAGTCTCAGCAATACTTGTGTGATAGACATTATTATTATTATTATACAGTATTTATAAAGCGCCAATAGTTCGCTCAGCGCTGTACATTACAAAGGGGGACAGAACATGTGACAGAACAATACCAATACAATGTGATACACGAGGGGTTCGAGGGCCCTGCTCTTTCGAGCTTACAATCTAGACATGAATTGTCCGTGGTACTGCAAATCACAGCAATACCAAAGTGATATAATAGAAGTGTTCATCTTCTGGTGAAGGAATGCATGGTACTGCAAGGTACAGCGATAACAAGTGATATTCAAAAGGTGCTCATGATCCAAAGTGGGAATCCACCACCTCTTATGGATGTGCCCTCACCGGAACGCCACTGATATAGTAGCGTTTGTGCTGATCCTTGTGGGGGATCTCAGAAAGCCATATGCAGGGACCGGACTTCTACAAAAAATAGACTTACGAAAACCAATAAAAGGATCCTCCTAGGGGGAAGAAGCTCACCACCGGACCCGAAGGTATGGTATATAGTGTAGTATTTATTAAAAGTTTTAAAAACAAACAATCTACATGCATACAATTATTCATGTATGTGTAAAAATAATACCAAGATGGCTGCTGCTTCTAGCTCCGGCCACGGCGGCGTGACGTCAGCACTGTCGCAGACGGAGCGGCTGCCATCTTGGTATATACATGAATGATTGTATCGACTCCAGGCCGCAGAATATATCTGTTGACAGTGTAGTCGTAGTTCAAGGCTGCATTGCTGTGACCTGAGATGTGAAGGTGCAGAATTGGGGTGTCCTGAGGTGTGAAGGTGCAGAACTGGAGTGATCTGAGGTGTGAAGGTGCAGAACTGCAGTGATCTGAGGTGTGAAGGTGCAGAATTGGGGTGTCCTGAGGTGTGAAGGTGCAGAATTGGGGTGTAATGAGGTGTGAAGGTGCAGAACTGGAGTGATCTGAGGTGTGAAGGTGCAGAACTGAAGTGTCCTGAGGTGTGAAGGTGCAGAACTGGAGTGATCTGAGGTGTGAAGGTGCAGAACTGGAGTGATCTGAGGTGTGAAGGTGCAGAACTGAAGTGTCCTGAGGTGTGAAGGTGCAGAACTGGAGTGATCTGAGGTGTGAAGGTGCAGAACTGGAGTGATCTGAGGTGTGAAGGTGCAGAACTGGAGTGATCTGAGGTGTGAAGGTGCAGAACTGGAGTGATCTGAGGTGTGAAGGTGCAGAACTGGAGTGATCTGAGGTGTGAAGGTGCAGAACTGGAGTGATCTGAGGTGTGAAGGTGCAGAACTGGAGTGATCTGAGGTGTGAAGGTGCAGAACTGGAGTGATCTGAGGTGTGAAGGTGCAGAACTGGAGTGATCTGGGGTGTGAAGGTGCAGAACTGGAGTGATCTGGGGTGTGAAGGTGCAGAACTGGAGTGATCTGAGGTGTGAAGGTGCAGAACTGGAGTGATCTGGGGTGTGAAGGTGCAGAACTGGAGTGATCTGGGGTG